AAGAGGCCAAATCCCCACTAATTTAACCCTAATGTAAAACTAGAAATGCTTGGTCTCTGGAAAGGACAAAGTTGGAAGACAACTGTAAATTAAAGACAGGCTACAGAAATGAGTATCTATTAATCTGAGATTTCACGTACAGAGGAAAGCTACTCCAGACCTCTCCATAACAAAGTAAACAAAGTACTGAGGTTTAACATAATGCCTGTTGGTGGCATTAGAACACACCGGTTTCAATCCAGTTCTACCCAGTCAGTTGGCCTCGCACTCACAGAGATCTGCGGAGCTCTTCCTCACGAGTGCTGGGATTAAAGGCGTGCGCCACCGCCGCCTGACCCACCTTTTAACATTTTTAAGACGTTAAGTTTTTAGCAGCATTCAACCTGAAACTATTTCCTCATCAGTATTTTCCCTAAATCCACCACTAGCGTGAATATGAATATAGAGAATATGGCCATGATGCACTTGTGTACTAGACTTCCAGAACTATGGTGTATTGGCAAAGCAGGAAACACAACACAAACTCCTAAGAACCTGATGTCAGGGTGGGTGCCCTACCCTCCACTACTGACAACAGACATTAAACGAAACGTTCCCTTTTAGGACGTCCGATTTCTTTTTTGATTGAAATGTCTGCTGCCCGAAATCATTTGTCTACTACATACTGAGGGAAAAAGGCAAAACTATTTCTCAAGTTGGGGGTGGGGTGGGGTAGCTTTCCCTACGTTTAATCTCCACTTTGACATTCCGCGACGTCTTCCTATCTATCAGGAACCTACAACGAGGTCCTCCACACATCACACACACACACACACACACACACACACACAAAGGGTGATCGCACAAAAAGCACGCTCTGCACCGATTTCTTCCAGAGAGCGTGGGGCCGGTGCCCGGGTGCACAGGGACCCGGCGCCAAAGGCCCGGGGCGCGCGCTCGGCGGGCAGCGAGAGGCGCCCGCGCCCGCACACCCCCGGCCGCGATTGGCCGGCGGCGCAGTCACTCAGAGCTGACACGTCAGGGCAGCCGCTCCCTCGCTCCTCCCGCCTCCTTCTCCCCGCGCTTGGCAAGAAAAGCGGGCAACGTGGAGCTGGAACAAAGGACCCCGCGGTCCACGGCGACCGGGGACTCCGTGCCACCCCACGCCAAGCCCCGGGAGCCGATGTGCTCCGAGGTCGGCTCCGCGTCCCCACCCGCGCGGGCCGCGGGAAGTCTTAGCACGGAGAGCCCCGGATCCCCAGCCGGGACCCGCTCCTGACAGCGGGGAGACGATGCCCGCGGTCCGCGGCGGCCGCCGCTCTCTTCCGGCAGGGCATCCTTCCTAGCGGTCCGCCGGGCCAGGTCCCGGGGACCTCCGTCACGGTGCGCAGAAGCCCGACGGTCCCCGCCCCGGCGGGGGAAGGTCCCGGACCACCGCGCTCGGCCCACGCGAGCCGGCAACCGTGCGGGCGGGAGGGTCCCCGCGGCGCCCGCTTCTCCCGGGAGAACCCGGGCGCCCCGCACAACCACCATCTTCCCACCCCGCCCTCTTCCTCCCGCGGCGCCCGCGCACACCGCGTTACCTGGGTCATCTCTGAAGAGATGGCGAAATTCATCTCCGGAGCTTCGACGGGCTGCAGCAGGCGGAAGGCGCGGGGAGGGGCGCGGGGCAACCGGGCGGGAGGCTGCGTGCGGGCACGGGAAGGCCACGGAGGACTCGCAGGCACTCGCTGGCCGCCACGACGCGCCCTGAGCAGCTCGGAGCGAGCGACCGACCTCCACGCGCGTCCCGGACACACTGCCGCCGCCGCCGCTGCCGCCGCGCGCTCTCGCGCCGCACTCCCTCGCACGTCACCACGTGCGCGGCCGCCAACGCCTCCCCGGCCGCTTCCGGCTCGGCTGCCTGGGCGAATCACCGGCGAGCTCCCGGGAAGATCGCGCTCTGAAGCTCCGCCCCCGGGGGCGAAGCCCCGCTCCGTCTCCCCGCCCTCCTCCTTGGCCGCCCCCTCCGGCCTCCGCCGCTCAACTAGGTCAGCGCAAGGTGATCCCGGGGAGCTGGGCGGCGGCGGCGGCGGCGGCGGTGGCCGCTCCTCGTGTTACTTATCGCGCGCGCCGCTCCCTCCCGTGCCTCACACCCTCGCTTCGCCCTTCTCCACTGACCAGGAACCGGTTTCCCTGCCGCCTCCTTCCCTTGCCCTGCCTGCTCCTCGAGAGATCCGACGTGGCGATTCGAGTTCTCAGCGTCACACTGACTTCTAGGCAACCACCCTAGACCGGGACCCCGGCCGCAGTTGGGCGTTAGATTTTGACCCCGGAGGGTGGAGGGGTGAGGAATGGAGGAAGAAGGGATAAGTCTGAAAGGAGGGCCTCGACAACTCCTCCATTGGCCAGCTTTGGGTGGGGGTTCAGTGAGCCGGTGAAAACAGTTGAGATAGTATCAGTCTGCCATTAAAAAAAAAAAAAAAGTGTTCGCTTCTACTTTTTGTTCCCCGGTAGTCAGTTCCTCGCTAGTCTTGCCTTCTTTGGGCAAAGAAAAAGTAGCTTGGAGAATTGTTAGTCCCTATCGCTACCTCCTGGGGCCTTTTTAACCCAGGAGCCGAGCACAAATATCCGCCCACCACCTTGTTCCTGGGAGGCAATCTGTTAGGTCAAATGTGATTTAAGCTGGGCTCCGCCACCACCGCTTCATAGGACTCGGAAAGGCACACTGTGAAAGTTTCCTTGATCGAAGATGAGGGGACTTGGTGAGATTATATCCAAACGTGTGTGAATTATACACATATTAGAGTTAGGGAAAGGCTTCTAGGTGAATGGCCTGCTCAAGCTGGGTCGTGGAGGGCACTTACTCAGTCTATACCTAACTTTGTATTTGGTCGTCCCAAATCTGCTTAATTTCTAGACGTTTCTCAGAGCCCTTTGACAATGCTTTCTTCCATTCTTTCGTTTATGCTTATGGGGCAGAAAATAAGAATGGGGGGGGGGGCTCCACTACTTTTTAAAAAGGGGATCTCGAGGCCAGGAGACTTGTTTCCTTTTTTGTTGTTTGTTTCAACGAAAGGAGGAAGTAGGAACAAAGATGTCTACTGGTATGGTATTTTGTGCCTTAAAAAGAAAAAGACGGGCCTTTGCCACCCTCCGTTTCTCTTTCTGATAGAACATTACTTGGACTGCAGATGAGACTGTTAGGGTACACAACTGTTGAGCTCTTCCTAGCAGTGAGAGAATATGAACTGCCCACTTGGGACAGGCACATGACTGGTCTGCTGGCCACATGGCCCTACTTGCTGTACACTAAATAGCGCCTTTGTAATCTGAAACAGTCAACACTTCTCTTAAAGCTACAGTGTGATCAGAGTCCATGTGGTTTTGCCTTTATGTATTTCCTTCTCTATGAATAATGGCATAATATACATACCTGATCTGTCTTTCAGGCATCGCAGTCTATATAGTAACCACTGACACTTGAAATTGAGCCATAAATGATTATTTACATTATATCTTTAATGGTAACAAATGATATAATGTTGCTCTGGAGGCGGGAGGGGGGGGTGAGGACAGCGGTAGAGTGCTTCCCTAAATAGTCTTGGGTTTCATCTCTAACATTGCAAACACACAAACATACATACAGATTGTGTAAGAGTGCTCGTTATTAATTTATGAGTGCATCTTTTGTGTCAGATAAGTTAGGAATTGGTGACAATCATCTTCATTTCTCTCTTTGATCATGCTTCAAATATTGTCACATACTGAACTCCGGCCAATGATTTGTTAATTCTCAATGTGCCTAGTCCCTAGGGCTACTGCAACAAATTACTACACTCTTTTAAAGGATGAATGTTTGTATCCGGTTATAGGAGGTTAAGTCTGAGATCAAAGGGCTACTCAGATTTCTTCCTCTGAGCCTAGGGAAGGATCTGCTCTGAGCCATTCAGTGGTTGCTCCCTGACTTCAGCAGCATAATTCCAATCCTGTGTGTGTGTGTGTGTGTGTGTGTGTGTGTGTGTGTGTGTTTGTAGGTCTTACATAGTCCAGTCTGGGTTTGGACTTATGATCCTTCTGCCTCAGCCTTCCAAGTACTGGAAATACAGGAACACACTGCCAACACCCAAATCTAACATTTACTTGATATTTTCTCCATTTGCATGCCTGTAATCCAAATTTCCCCCTTTTAAGAAGTTATCAATCATGTTGGAGTAAGAGCCACTGTATTCCTCCAGTATGACCCTATTTTAGCTAAGTCTGCGACTACTTTGTTCCCGAATGAGGTCTTGTTTGGCGACTCTGAAAGTTGAAACGTCAACATGAATTTGAGGAGAGAGGACATGGCTCAACCCTTAATACTAGTTCAATGTCTCTCAAATGGAGTCACTGATCACATGGGTAAGAATCACCCGATTGTACTTACTAGACAGACAAGTCGCTAGGCTTTTTCTGGGGGTAGTGTCTTCAAAGTGGGGGGCTTACTTTGTCCCTAGGGACCAATGTCTGGAAACAACTAAGAGGTAAGACCTTCCTCCAGTTAATCAAGGGCCTGGAATGCTACCGAACACCTCGGTGCACACAGCGCGTGTCGGTGCCCAGTGCCCTCCGAACAAAACGATCCTCTCAGCCTGCAGATAACAATAGTTCCGAGATTAGAAGGCCCTCCCCACAGCTGCTGAGTGTCAGTCTCTGGAAAAGGCCCCCAAACAGTTGACAAGCCTCCCAGCAACTCCCCCCCCTCCCCCGCAACTAAAAGGTTTGAAAACCACTGCAGATCCGACCACACACGAGCAGGCTTCACTTCGGTCTTCATTTCGGTCACCTCTCTTCCCTAGTAGCCATGCTAATTATGGCAGATTGATTTAGTTAAACATTACCCACTTAGCAATTCTGATGCTCAATAAATCAGCCTTAACATTAACCTTAAGTCGGGCTTTTGTTTACATCTGAAGACCGCCATGCCACGTGACATTATTTTGATCAATTGCTGACATTTTCTGGATGTCCTGTGCCTAATGAAAGCTGTCGCCAGGCCAGCTTGGCAGAGCACGGCTTGTGTCCTCCCCTCGGGCTTTCTCCTGTATTCAGAGTGACTGGCCTGTCTGTTTCTTATGTCTCATTCCTTGCAGTTAATTCTCCTCGGTTTCTTTTTCTTCTTCCTCTTCAGCCCTTGAAGGTATTTTCAGGGCACATTAGTGAAATCTTAAGAGCAAGAACTACAAAATAAATAGTGGTATCAGAAAAGAAAAAAAAAAAAAAGGCACAGGAAGCCTAGGGGAAAATCCTCCAACTTCCATGCTCCCATTAAAGTAGGTCACTGGAAATTGTTATGTTTTGTAATGCATAAAAATTGAGAGCTTGGTGTCATTCTAAAATATTATTCCTCTAATATGCATTCCCTGCTATCAAGATTTCGTTTTTTCTGGTAAGTCCTCAACAGATTTTTTTTTTCCGCCAGAATGAAGCAACCTATTTCATTTATTTGTGAACCTGATGACTAGAAAATTCTTTAAATATGTATCAATATGTTAAGGCTGACTTCTCTTTTCTGGTTACTACAGGAGACAATCTCTCCAATGGCCTTGTGTTAGTTCCCTGAAGTCATTACAGGTAAAGATCTGAAATCCACTCAAGTCTCCTGCTCTACCACTCAAGTCTCCCACTCTTAACTATAAGGATTCCCTGATAGTGTCTTTCCTTTTCAACTGTTTCTAAGGAATTAAAACATTTCCTGTTAGGACTGGGATGTAGCTCAGTTGACACAATGCCCTCCTTGCTCACACAAAGCTCTGGGTTTAGGAGGAGAGAGGATTATGAAGCCAAGGTCATTCTGCTACAGAGTAAGTTCCAGGCTATCCCTAAGATACATAAGACCCTGTCTCTAAAAATAACACGAAATAGAATTTTTCATGTGCTTTTTTTGACATGTAGCCACAGATGTTATGTTCAGCTCTGGAACTCTAGGCTTTCTATAGCAAAAAACCACACAAACTCCCAAAGCTTCCTTTTTTGTTTGAGAAAGGGTCTCATGTGGTCCAGGCTGGCCTCAAACTTGCTGTGTAGCTGAGGATGACCCTGGAGCCTGTATCTTTCTGCCTCCACCCTCCATGAGCTGGGATTATAGGTATGTGTCCCCATACACGGCATGAAAAAAGTCTTTGTTTACTCAGTCTGATTCTTGAAAATCACGCAAAGAAATAGCCTTCATACTGAGTTTTATTGTCACGTCGAGACTCAAGTGTAGAAACAAAAGTATGTTAACACGTAGCATGGTCGTCACAGTTCAGTCCAGAGAGTTATTCTGCTGTAATCTCATTTAAAACTTAATGAATGGAAGTTACACACTATAGTTCAATTACGGCAGCCAACCAGCTGTTGCCAGTGGAAACTGACCACTCGGCAAAGAAAGCCAAGAAGTTTGGCGACAGGAAACAGTAGAAAGAGCACAGCAGTTACACTGTAATGCTCTTCTTCCTTCTTCCGTACTGTTTCCGGTTTCATGAAGACAACCAGGAAGTACAAATGTGCAGCTCGAAATCTGGGCACGGTGGTACACACCTGTAAACCCAGCACTCAGGAGATAGAGGCAGGAGCAGCTCCTTGATTTCCAGGCTAGCCAGGACTACATCCGTGAACCTCATCTGAACAAAACAACACAAAACCTTTATGTTATAGCGAGAGCCAACTTTTCCAACTACTGAAGACAAAGTCATGATGTCACAATGACTTGTTCTGTTTCTCTTCCTCTCCGCCATATGCCTCTAAAATTGATGCCCTTAGGAACAGAATTATGAAGTGAAATGCATTCTTTCCTAATCACGTCTCACATCTTACTAGACAGGAAAGCGGTGGGATGCTGGGCAAGGTGCCATATACTGTAATTCAGGTATTCAAGAGGTGGTAATGGGAGCGTCAGGAGTTCAAGGAAAAAATGGTGGCTGTGTGTGTGTGTGTGTGTGTGTGTGTGTGTGTGTGTGTCTGTCTGTCTGTCTGTCTGTCTGTCTGTCCCATCCTCCTTTGCACTTGGTCCCTGGAGCACTGTGTGAGGACTTAACACAAGTGTCCTTCAGAATGCCTACTTTTTCCTGCTGGTTAAGGTTAAAAGTGATGGATCAATTCAACTCATTTTTTTTCTCCTTTTGAAACAAAGTCTCACTCTGCAGCCCTCTCAAATTCACAGTAATCCTGGTGCCTCAGGCTCTGGAGTGTTGGAATTACAGGCATGAACGCCCGCCACCCCAGGGTACCAAGTCACTGTTATTTGACCATGAGTTCACACACAAGAATGAGCAAGCCAGTGCCATAGGAATGGCCCAGTTGCCAGTGACCTTGGGGCTGCTGAGCCTTCTCTGGACTGGTGGGCTGTAGACTTCTTCTATGAGAAAGGAAACAAACTTTCATCTTGTATAAACCAAAATGTTGCAGGAACAGACTGTTAAGCGGACCTTCTGCGTGCTCTTGGGTTTCTGTTCCATTTATTTCCCTTTGTAATACCACAGCTGTCTGTTCCTCCTGGAGCCCACACCACCCGTGGGAAACTAGCAAGAAGTAACTCTTGTTACTCTGTGCAAGGGGTGGTTTAGTTTTTGATTCCGTCTAACAAACACACACTAAGCTGCTTGTAGGTGGTTCTGATGAAGTTCCAGGGGCTACAAGTGAAGGCTAGAGTCTCAGGTTTTGAAGCAGACAGTTTAAATAGCCAAGTCCTGCCTCGCTGTGTCTGTCCCTCCTACTGATCAATGATGTAGACCACACCATTCTTATTCTCCCAAACCGCATCGTATTAGCCCTACTGGATGCTTCACAGCAGGTGTCTACCGAGTAATTCCTTGATGTAGAAGGGAAAGCACACGAGGCCTACACACTACATTAGAAAACGATAGACAACTGAGAGTGGGAGAAAGGGTCTTCTCCAGGGAAGAGCACACCTGGTTCTCCACTACCTGGAAACATCCACATCCACATCCAAGTA